CTCCAACGAAAAATGAAGTGGTTTCTTTCATGCAAACATCCAATCTCATTTAAAAATCAATATGTAAAAACACTCCCTTCTTTGTTTGAATTTAATTGTATTTTTTATTTCTAGCTTTTAGTTTGGAACATCCATACATATAGAAATATTGAAAGAAATGAAAAGAAAGGAAACTCTGAAGAAAACAAATAGAAAAAGAGAACTGAGGCTGCTACAAAATTGATTGGTGGACAAATGTTGTGCGTGTTCTTGGCTTTAATTATTTTGAACTGTTTCACAGGTGGCTTGTTTTGAACTCTATTTACTTCGTCTATTTGATTAAGATCTGTCTTTACTTCAAATGGATATGAATAATATATTTCTCTACGGTGATCTCTCTGAAATAGTTTATATGCAGCAACATCTTGGATGTGTTGCTTGGGGGGGCGAATAAAATCTATGAACTGCAAAAAATTACATATGGGTTGAAGCAGAATCTTTGTGCTTGATTTAATTATCTTTTGCAAGCTCTTTGCAGTAGGTCTTCAAAGTAAGATAACTTTTATCACTCTATTTTCATCTACCATTTGTCCATTGGGTCGGTGCTAGGGTCAGTGATCCTTGCAGTGTATGTTGATATTGATCTCATCGGAAGTAGTATCTTTGGTTTTGAGAAAATAAACAATATCTTGACATTTATTATAAAAACTTTGAATTTTGAAAGTACTTTCTTTGTATCAAGTTTGCATGCAACATAGTTGATGTCTCATTTTTCTACAAAGGAAATTTGCCATGAATCTATGTGAGGAAAATTAGCTTAATGGTGTAAACCTTCTAACTCTCCTATGAATACTTCCGGACTTCTAATGATGCAGAAAAGCTGCAAACAAATTCTTTGCTATCGTTGGTTAGTTGGTAAGCTTTCTTTATCTGATCTCCACCTGACTTGCTATTTCCTTCATCGTTGGGGTGATAAGAGAATATGCAAATTCCAAAGAAGCAGCATTGGGATGTGTTAGAAGTTAATAGTTTTTATTTATTTCCTTTCCGGTTACTCCCTATTTTATGTATTTCTTATTTTTTTTATTTTTTTTATTTCTGGGTATTTATTAGAAATTGATTAATTGTAAACTTGGAGATATTGGTGTTATGTCTTTCCTATTTTAGAATCATATAACTTGTATTTATATACCCTTTCATATCAATAAAGTTATTCCGCTAAATTCTCGAAGCCTACAACCGACATGGTGTCAGAGAGCCTTGAAACAAGCCCCGGAGTCTCCGGCGGAGGAGAAGATCTCCTGCCGCCAGAAATTTATTATTCCCCGCAGCCAACAATCTTTCTCTCTGCAGGCCCTAGCCACCGAAACCTCTCTCCTCGCAGGACCTAGCCGTTGGAACTCTTTCTCCTCGCAGGACCTAGCCGTTGGACCTCTTTCCCGCAAGCCCTAGCCGCTGGAACTCTCTCCTGCAAGGCCCTAGCCACCAAAACTCCTTCCTCCGCAGTTTCTAGCCGTTGAAACCCCTTTCCCTGCAGGAGCTAGCTGCCAGAACTCTCTCCTTTCAGTCCTCTAGCTGCCGGAGTTCTCACTATAGTTTCCGAGCCTTGGATCAAATCTTAGCCGCCGGACCGCCTACTACTGCAGAAATTTTGAATTTCGGACCTCCTGCTGCTCCATAAATTTTGAATTTCGGACCTCCTCCTATTGCAGAATATCTGAACTATCTCAGAGGTGGAGAATTGGATTTTGCCGATGCTTCAAGCATAGAGAAAGAAGAGCAAAAATGAAGAAAATCCCAAAAACAATAAATTTTGTGCTGGTTTTTCTCATCACAACCTTCTATTTTCTTAAATGCACGGCTTTTGCTGCTCAAAAATCCTACTTTGTTTACCTTGGAGCCCAATCCGACTTTGCTGAAGAATTCTCTGCTGATACTAATGAAAACCTCACACAATCTTACTTTGAGCTCTTAGAATCATTCCTTCAGATCAAGGAGAAGGCCAGTGATGCAATCTTCTACTCTTATACAGGATGCATCAATGGTTTCGCAGCAATCCTGGAGGAAGATGCTCTGGAGATCTTACAACATTCTGGAGTTTTTTCTGTTTTTGAGAACCGAGGACAAGCTTCACACAACTCGCTCATGGCAGTTCTTTGGCTTGTAGAGAGATGACGTAGTTCCGAAGCAATCCCTGTGGAGAAAAGCTAGATTTGGAAAAGATTTATTATTGCTAATCTTGATACTGGTGTTTGGTCAGAGTTCAAGAGCTTCAGGGATGACGACATGGGATCCATTCCTTTTAAATGGAAGGGAATATGCCAGAGTGACAGCAAACAGAATTTCTTCTGCATTAGGAAGCTAATCAGTACTCAATATTTCAACAAGAGCTATTTAACCGCTGGTGGCACTGTTAGCTCAACTTTAAACATCCCCTGCAATCTGAACAGGCACGACACTCACACTCTCCACCGCTAGCGGAAGCTTTGTGCCCAACGCCAGTGTTCTAGGCTTCGACATCGACATAGCCAAAGGCGAATCCCCTCGCGCCCGTGTTGTTGCCTATAAGGTTTGTTGGTCTCTCGTCAACGACAACGAATGCTTCTATGCCTACATTCTTCCTAGCTTTGAAGCCGCCATCAAAGGTGGCGTCGATGTCATCTCCCGTCAACAGTTGTGGGTTTTTTTTTCCTATCCCTGCAGGGTGTATCTACAAGCCCTTCTGTAGTTCCCAAAATTCCTACAGTGGACAGTAGTGGAGACGCATCTTCTTACTTGCAATTTCCTGCTCGTTGTCGGACTTCAAAAGGATCGCAACAAGGACATCCCAACAAGTAGCTTCTAGAATTCCTTCTCATTTCTTACTTGGTCATAAGCCCAATGCATGCTTAGGGTTAGAATTCTGTAGAGCCAGAATCCTCCTACTGAAGGCCCACCTCCGTCAGAACCTTTCAGCTGATTTGTAGGCCCTCTTCCGGAGCTTTTTCCTGCAACAAATCCTCTGCCGGAGCTTTTTCCTGCAACAAACCCTCTGCCGGAGCTTTTTCCTGCAACAAACCCTCTGCCGGAGCTTTTCCTTTTTTTTCTGCAGACCATACTCTGTAACTTTCCTTGCAAGTTGTCTACTTCCCTGCAAATTTTCCTGCATCATTACCTGTAGCAACCTTCCACCTGTCTACAGGAACTGAAGAAACGACAGTCAAAGGCAGCCGCAATCAGTTAGAAGCATCTCTAATTGTCTTGGGGATGAAGCCTTCAAATTCTACCTTACAAAATATTTTCCTTACCAAGTTAAACATGATTGACATCTATACTTCAACTTGAGGGGGAGTGTTAGAAGTTATTAGTTTTGATTTATTTCATTTCGTGTTATTTCTTATTTTATATTAGAAGTTATTAGTATTGATTTATTTCTTTATCGGTTATTCCCTATTTTCTGTATTTCTTATTTTATATCTTTCCTTTTATTTCCGGATAGTTATTATAAATTGATTAATTGTAATCTTAGAGATATTGGTATTATGTCTTCCCTATTTTAGAATTCATGTAATTTGTACATATATTCCATTTCATATTAATATAATTATTTCGCTAAATTCTCAAAAACCTATAGGATTTTATCTTAAGGAATTTAAGATGTATTAAAAGATTTCTAGAAGAAAGGATTATTTATTAGAAACACAAAGTGAATTGAAGCCTACTTTGAAATTGACAATTCTGAATATATTAAAAATGAAAGTGTACTCACGATATTTTTATTGAAGAAACTTTGGTTTCATGTAATAGTAAGACCAACGGCTATTTTTGCTAGATATTGCAGTAAAGCAGAATATAGAGATATGGCACAGTCCTTTTATGAATTGATGTGAATAAAAACGTCTTATTAAAGAGTTTGCTTTTCTTGTTACTCAACTTATGCTTTGAAGATTGATAATTAGAGAACCACGTGTATTCCTAGCAATCCTATTTTTAATGAAAGAGTAAGACTTGAATTCATTTCATCTTTACTATGCAAACACACAGACATACTCACACAGATATATATATATATATATATAAATAAGCGCGCACGGGGTGGGTACGGGCTAGCAGGCGCATTTGTGTGGTTGTTCTATTATCAAGTCAATTAAGTTCTTTTCCCTTTAACAACAGCTATAGCACCAACGTGAGAATATTCTCTTCATTAACCTTTATCACAAATTTGAAGTTAATATTTTTTTAGTAGTGGATTTCATTGGCTGGGTTTATGCTTTCATTTTTTATACCGATTTACTCAAGGGTTGGCTGAGGTTGAATTTGAAATGTGTTCAAACATGGCATGCTTGTCTTTGCTTACAATTGGTTAACTTATAATAGGCAGCTCGAGTCTGAAAATTGGTTCAAATATGTACTTGCTAGATCAAAGTTGTTGTGATGCTTGTAGAAAATTTGTTTCAATCTTGGCTTAGAACTAATTATATTTTCAGCCATTTGAAATCTTTTTTTTTCTCTTTTTAAATATTATTTTATTTTATTTTTTTTTACTTTTTTTTTTATGATATTCATAACCCCGTGCACTCGCGTGCGTGCACACACATACATAGAGTGAGAGAGAGAGAGAGAGAGATGGTTAAGCCTGGATTGAAATGAGCCAAAATGCTTAGTATCTTGATGGTTATTTTTACATAATTAAATGCGTGATTCAGACCGAAAATAGGTATTTACCTATTCTTAGTGCCTTTGATAATCAGAGATCGAGTTAAACATCAGCTGTAGCCTGTCGTTCTTTATGATCACTGGATTTGCAAACTGAACCTTTATTACGTGCAAAGTTTAGTTCAGGCTGAACATGCAAGTGGTAATGCTAGATAGAACATGTTTATTATTATTATTATTATTATTATTATTATTTTTAATCCCTAATTACTAAATTTGTGATATCTTACAGAGCTTTGCTCTATTCCATGAAACAACATATAATGAAATGAGATATGCAGGTGGCTGTTAAAATGCTGTTTCTGACTTATTTCCCTACTTAACAGATAAAACAACTGCAACAAGAAAGTGATCTTCCTTTAGAAGAACTACTTGGAAGGTATGGGCAGGTAAGAAACTTTCAGATCTGCTCCACCTGGGCCTCTTCTTTTCCATTAACTGACTGACTTCAACCTATAGGAGATGGAGAATGATGATGATATTGGCTTCGTGGAATCGGATTCCTCTTCCTCTCGTTCGGATGGCCCATTAAAAAGTGACACATATTGTGTTATTCAACCAGGCGATCCAAGCGTTTCCAGCGCTGATCATGATCATGTTTCGGAAAGGGAAAAATCTGCTCATGAGATCCAAGACTCCATTGCAGAAGACATTGAAGGTGACATGAAGCTTGAACTGGATAAAGTTATGGATAAGCGGGGTAGTGAAAATATGATTGCAGATGCAGCAGCTGCAGCAAGATCTGCTCAACCCACTGGCAATACATTCTCGACTACTAAAGTGCGAACTAAGTTTCCTTTCCTCCTTAAACACCCTCTGCGGGAATATCAACATATTGGCCTGGATTGGTTGGTCACCTTGTATGACAAGAGGCTTAATGGTATTCTTGCAGATGAAATGGGTTTGGGGAAGACAATCATGACAATTGCTCTTCTGGCACATTTAGCCTGTGAAAAGGGAATATGGGGACCTCATCTTATTGTAGTACCAACTAGTGTAATGCTTAATTGGGAAACAGAGTTTCTTAGGTGGTGTCCGGCTTTCAAAATACTGACATACTTTGGAAGCGCAAAAGAACGGAAACATAAGAGACAAGGTTGGTTGAAACTTAACTCGTTCCACGTTTGCATCACTACTTACAGACTTATCATACAGGACTCAAAAGTATTTAAGCGGAAGAAGTGGAAATACCTCATCCTTGATGAAGCTCATCTGATAAAGAACTGGAAATCTCAGAGGTGGCAAACTTTGTTAAACTTCAACTCAAAAAGGCGAATTTTGTTAACGGGTACACCTCTACAAAATGACCTCATGGAACTTTGGTCCTTGATGCATTTCTTAATGCCTCATATATTTCAATCTCACCAAGAATTTAAAGATTGGTTTAGTAATCCGATTTCTGGGATGGTGGAAGGTCAGGAAAAGGTTAACAGGGAAGTGGTGGATAGGTTACACAATGTGCTTCGTCCTTTCATACTTCGGCGCTTGAAAAGAGATGTGGAGAAGCAACTACCCAAGAAGCATGAGCATGTCATATACTGTAGGCTTTCGAGACGACAAAGGAACTTGTATGAAGACTTCATTGCAAGCTCGGAAACACAAGCGACTCTTGCCAGTACAAATTTTTTTGGCATGATTAGTGTGATAATGCAACTTAGGAAGGTCTGCAATCATCCTGACCTATTTGAGGGTCGTCCCATTATAAGCTCATATGACATGGCTGGTATCAACATGCAATTAAGCTCAGATGTTTCCTTGATCTTCTCTTCTGGTCCATTTTCTGGGGTTAATCTGAAGGGTTTAAATCTTATATTTTCTCATCATGAATTTGATATGATTTCTTGGGAGAGTGAGGAAGTCTTGTCGATATGTTCATCGAATTTAATTGAGGACAATATGCTGAAGTTTATAGAGATACCATCAGCTGGTCAATATGACCGTAAAAGAGCCTTAGGAACTAATATTTTTGAAGAAATTCAGAAAGCACTTTTTGAAGAAAGATTGAAGCAGTTAAAAGAAAGGGCAGCTTCTATTGCATGGTGGAATAATTTGCAATGCCAGAAGAAACCTATCTATGGAACTGATCTTAGAGAACTTGTTACTGTTAAGCATCCTGTTGCAGATATTCACAAGCAGAAGAGTAATCCTTGCTGTTATATGAAATTTTCATCTTACCTCGGAGAACTAGTTCTTTCAGCTGATGAAAGATTTCAAAAGATGATAGGCACAGTTGAAAGCTTTATGTTTGCAATTCCAGCTGCACGCGCTCCTCCTCCTGTTTGCTGGTCCAGTAAAGCTGGATCTTTTGTGTTTCGGACACAGGCATATGCTGATAGATGTACAGAGATTTTGTCACCTCTCCTCTCACCTTACAGACCTGCTATTGTGCGTAGACAAGTGTATTTTCCTGATAGACGTCTGATACAGTTTGATTGTGGTAAGCTACAAGAGCTTTCTATCCTTTTAAGGCGTTTAAAATCAGAGGGGCATAGAGCTTTGATATTTACCCAGATGACCAAAATGCTTGATATCTTGGAGGCTTTCATTAATTTGTATGGTTACACATATATGAGGTTGGATGGTTCCACGCTACCAGAACAAAGGCAGACTCTGATGCAGCGGTTCAACACAAATCCAAAATTTTTCCTGTTCATTCTATCAACTCGTAGTGGTGGAGTTGGGATTAATCTAGTAGGGGCTGATACTGTTATCTTTTATGATAGTGATTGGAATCCGGCAATGGATCAGCAAGCTCAAGACAGATGCCACAGGATAGGGCAAACACGGGAGGTGCATATATATCGCCTAATTAGTGAGAGTACAATTGAAGAAAACATCTTGAAGAAAGCAAATCAGAAGCGAATGCTTGATGATTTGGTCATACAGAGTGGAAGTTACAACACCGATTTCTTCAAAAAGCTTGACCCAATGGAACTACTTTCTAATCATAAATCACTTCATGTTGGAAACTTTTGTAAGGAGAATAATTATGCTGAATCCTTCAATCATGGAGTGGGGGCAGATATTTCAAATGCAGACGTTGAGGCTGCCATCATGCATGCAGAAGATGAGGCGGATTATATTGCTCTTAAAAGAGTAGAGCAGGAAGAAGCAGTAGAGAATCAAGAATTTTCTGAAGATGCTATAGGGAGAGCAGAAGATGATGAGAATGAAGAAGAAACAATGGTGGATGAAAAAGTTCCTGATGAACATAAAATTGACTCTAGAAATATGTGGAGCAAGGACAATGGTGCTGACAATCTTAATGAAGAAAATGCTCTCACTTTAATTGGGGGATCTGAAGAGATTGACATGTTGGCTGATGTGAAACAGATGGCAGCGGCTGCAGCTGCTGCTGGGCATTCTAGTTCAACATTTGAAAATCATCTTCAGCCCATCGATAGATATGCTATGCGCTTTTTAGACCTATGGGATCCAATAATCGACAAATCTTCCATAGAATATCATGACAGTGTGGAAGAAGAGGATTGGGAGCTGGATAGAATTGAAAAGCTCAAGGAAGATATGGAAGCTGAGATTGATGATGACCAGGAACCTCTTTTATATGAAAGTGAGTGAAAGTTTTGCATAATTTTTTTATTTGGTGACATGATTATGATGGAGTGTCAAGTAAAATTATTTTCTCCTTGAATTGGACAAGTAGGGAGATTTTTTTAAAGGAAGAACTCCAAAAATATCCATAATAATTTGTAAAGAATCTAATGGAGGTAACAGCACTGAAAATATGGTGTCAGTTATTGTCATAGTGGAGGACATGACTCTAGAACATCTTGTTCCATTTGACGCATGACATAGCCTGTTACAAAACATTCAAGTAAAAATATAGACTCGAAAGGATCTCAGCTTGGCAACATAAGCTTTACCATGAAAATTAATTAGTAATTACAAAGTAGGTAAACCTTTTAACGCTGTTAGCATAACAATATGCAACTAGGTAGAATAACATATGCTATGGTTACTATTTTTGCACTATAGCTCATAATGCATTGCATTCATAATACATATAATTTAGTTTCTGTTTTTTTATTTTAAGATATAAATAAAACTTGTTATAATTAATTTTATTATTTTATTGTTTTTTATCATTATTATTATTATTATTACTTGAGGTTTTGCTTAGAATCGTTTTCTTTTGTCTGTCTCAGCTTCATGCACAACCCTCTTCTGAGTCGATCTCTGATACCGAAGTTAACCCAAGCTACAAGAAATATAAATATTATTTGCTAAATTCAAATAGGGTTATAATGACAACTCATCACGAAATAGGAGTTAGACAAAAACTGACATAAAAGGACACACTAGGGTGACTGCGAAGGGGGTGAGTGGCTATAGGACAACAGGTAAGATGGTGACTCGGGGCTGCATCAGCAGTAGAATGACTGTGGAGGGAGTTGTGGCAACCAGGATAGAGCGCGTTGGAGTGGCTTTCGGCAGTAGGTCAGAGAGCTGCAGAGGCTGGGGACAACAAGTCAGAGCATTAGAGAGGTTGTTGGCATCAGGTCAGAGCGTTGAAGCAGCAGATTAGAGTGCTGAAGCAGCAGATTAGAGTGCTGAAGAGACTTTGGGCAGCAGATGAGAGTGTTGAAGGGCTGTTGGCAATAGGTCAGAGTGCTGGAGGGCTGTTGACAAAAGGCCGACGCGCTGGAGGGCCATCGACAGCAGGCAGGAGCACTGGATAGGCTGGCGATAGTAGATCTGAGTGCGAGAGTGAAACAAGAAGGGGTGGGAATGTCGGGAAGATGGCAGTGAGCCGGTAAGGGAAATATGGAAGGATCACTATCCCCACGGTAGTGAGTTCAGTCGGAACATCCTTGAAACTTTAGAGAAGATCATCGTCTCCGACAAGTTACAACCAGAGAACCATCTCGCTATCGAACACAACCCTATGAGGTAAGAGGACGTCGACGGTTGTCCAAACCGAAAGCTAAGCTAAAAACTAAACCTTAAACAAAGAATATCACGCATATATATCATTGGTACTAGTAGTTGTTAGCATAGGAAGGAATTAGAAGTGGAAGGAATATAAATAGGAAAGGAAGAGAATTAGACAAGGAATAGAAATAGGAAAGGAATAGAAAAGGAAGGAGTTTTCTCTATGGAAGGGAGTGGAATAGAAAATTGGTAGAGGGAAGGGGCGGCAATTTCAGGCCCCATGAAGGTCGGTCGGTTCAGTTGGCCATCCCTGCATCAATCTCTCATCCAAAACTTTGAGTGAAAGGAAAGTAGATGCCCCCAACATAATTTCGATGTGACAAAACCTACATAATCTTTATGGATATGCTGCAACGACACTCCTAAAAATGTGGCATACTCATGTTAGATACGTATTGGACACCGACACTTGCTGACATGCTCTGACACGTGTTCGCCACTTCAAAAACGTGTCTGAGTTTATTTGGGCTCACACATGTTTGGGACACCCCTCCACACTACATTAAATGAACTCAACACGATTTGGGAATAAATAAGACATGAGTATAAATTTATAAATATATGTATAGCTCTAATTATATCATATAGTTGAAGCCGTCTCCTCTCTCTTCATGTAGAAGTTTCTTCTAACATTCGTCAAAATCTAGCATCAAAGGTCCTCCAATATTCGTCAAAGCCTAGCATTATTAGTTCCTTCATTGTTTATTGAAGCCGAGCATTAAAGGTCCATCTAGCCATTAAAAATAATCATTCGTCGAAACTGAACCTACACTTGTTAAAGCAGAAGTCGTATGCTTCTTTGTCGCAATCTTAGTAGCAGTCAAATCTATTTGTTTAAGTATTTCCAAATTCTTACAAACTTTACGACACTTGCAATGAAGCTTCTATCTGTCAAAGCCAAGTGGATTCAAAGCCGCTTTAGTTTTCTAGGTGATAATTATAATATTTTTATTTACTTTTTAATGAGTTAATTGTTATAAATTTATACTTATTCTAATTCTAGAAGTTATATTTTAACTGAATTAATTAAACAAGGTGTAATCGTAGGATATTTTATATTTTAGTAGATAATTTGAAGAAAATCTTTTGAAATATATTGTCTAATTTTGAAAATTATTTTTTATAAACATGAGATTTCATAATACATGTTAAATTTTATTTATGCATATTTTGTTTTGTGATGTCTTTGATAAAACAACATTAGAAAAATATATATTCTACATTAATAATTAAATAAATATTAAAATTTGTCCATGATGCGTCTTGTTCTATTTTTTTTTAATTATGTTGTGTCTTCGTATCGTGTTCCTGTCTGTGTCCCTATGTTTTTGTCCGTGCATCATAACTTTATTCACTGAGCTCTTTCTCTTGAGTATCGATCTCCTTCATGAGTTGAAAACAACCCTATCTTTAGTCGTACATAGAGGTTTTTCTTTATCTTCAATTCTCTTTGCATGTTGAATGCATGCCTCTATCGAGTTGAACACATGAGCTCCTTTTTTCCTTTGATCTTATCTCCAAATTGAATGCAACCCTCTCTTTAGTTGAACCCAGGAGCTCCTCTTCTTTTATCTTTCACTAAGTTGAGTGCACTTCTCTCTTCCGCAGACAAACCCATCTTTTTGCCCCTTTTTTTTCATCTGGTATCAAATTCAACAATGCATGAAATATTTTTTACTCTTTCTTTTTTTCTTATTGTGATATTTTTGTAGCCCTTTATTCTTTTAATTTGCCTTGAATGGTTGTTTCTTTTATGTATAACTTTATTTGATGTAGTTTGCTTCTACTTAATTTTATTGAGTTATATATTGTTGCTTTGGATTTGTTTGATTATTAGTTTATCTTGTTAAATTTACAGAATTATCATGATATCTTTCTAGGGCTCCTATTAACTTATTTGGGAAGTGGATTTCGTGGAGAGGTGGTCGTGGAATGGCATGGGAAGCCTAATATGTGTGGGTTAATGTATTTGGAAGTGATTATAGGGATAAAGCTACTGTTGGACAGCAGGTTCAACATCGTGGATGGCTGCCTCGTCTGCAAAGAGTGGAGAAAACTCTGAATCGGTGACATTTGTGCGGCAAGGAGGTTCCACCACCTACTTGTAAGCAAAATACATACACGCTATTTGCAAAATGAAGATGATAGAACACTCCAGAGAATAAAAATTCAAAGAAACGTCTCTTAAATTCATAAACTCAACAAACTGAAAATCCAAAAAGTCCTATTGTAACACATAGATGTTTCCTCATACTGAACCTAATTGAAAAATAGGAGATAAGATAGAACCGGAAATGAATGAATTAAAAGACAACTTACATAAAATAACCAAGTACAAAAACAACAACAATAACAAGCCTTTATCCCACTATGTGGGGTTGGCTACATGAATCCTTTTTCTCCATTGCGTCCTATTGAGTGTCATATTTTCATTTAATTCTAATAGGTCTTTTTAGTTCTACCTTTGCCTTAACAACATTTAAAGCTAAAACATCTGCTCTCCTAACTGGATCATCAAATGGTCAACATTTACTGTGACCAAACCACGAAGACGACTCTATCTAATCTTGTCCACCACCAGAGCTACACCAACCATATCACAGATATATTCATTTTGCATTGTCTCCAATTGTCAAGCCACTCATCCACCTAAGCATTAAATTTGTTTTATGCTTCTATTTTAAAGGCCAACATTCTGCGCCATAGAGCATTTCAGGCCTCACCATCACTTATAAAATTTTCCTTTCAGTTTAAGCAGTATTTTTCCATCACACAATAGGCCCAAAGCATTCCTCTATCTCAACCAACCAACTTAAATTCTACTAATAACATCCCCATCTATATCACCATCACTCTGAACAATAAACTTGAGATATCTAAAACGTTCACACCTTTTAATGATTTGATCACCCATAGTTACTACTTTGCCACTAGAACTATTACTACTAATATTATATTGCATGTATTTAGTCTTAGTTCAACGAAGGCCTTTAGACTCAAATGTTGACCTCCCTAATTCAAGTTTTTCTTGTACTCTTTCTCTAGTTTTATCCAAAAGAAGGATATCATCAACGAAAAACATACACCAAGGTACATCCTCCGGTAAATGTCTAGTAAGAGCATCCATAACTAAAGCAAAAAGATATGGGGTTAAAGCCGATCCCTGATGCAATCCAACTGAAATAGGAAAATACTTGGTCAATCCTCCTTTTTATTCGAACACAAGTAATAGCTCTATCATTCGTATCTTTAATGACTAAATATAAGTCATATCAACACATTTCTTCTCTAGAATCTCTAGCATTTCTTCTCTAGAACTCTCCAAAGGACTTCTCTTGGAATCTTATCGTAAGCTTTTTCTAAATCAATAAAAATCATATGTGGATCATCCTTATTGTCTTTGTACTTCTCCATCACGCCTCTCAATAAATGTATAGCTTCCATAGTAGACCCGCCTAACATAAATCCAAACTGATTAAGAAAAATCTTTATATTGCGTCTTAACCGATGTTCAAGTACCCACTACTATAATTTTAAAGTATGACAGATCAACTTAATTTCTCTATAATTTACACACCCTTGGGCACCCTTTTTATTAAAAATGGGGACCAAAATACT